ATAAAAGCTGCTGTAAGCGCTGCATTAAAACGAGTGCAATAAGTTTCTAATTTGACCTAGGCTTCATGACATTTCAAAAAGTATCATCAAGAAAAAAATTATCAGACAGAAATATGTATGTCGTGTTAAAATCGGAGAGACGAAGAAAAATATATGGTTGCGTTCTCACGAGAATGGGCGATGGAGGGGCCCATTCTTTATTTTCAATATTCATATATGAAGATATAAATTATATATATATGTTGAACAATTGAAATAAATGTACAATGTACGTTAAAAGTTATACAATTAAAAACATTTACTGATTAAATAAAATAATATGACTATAATATAATTATATATTAATATATTACAATATACAAGTATATTTAAATATTTTGAACTGTATATAATACAATACAAATTTATCAATAAGAATCGAAAATACATATATTTGTGATACTTGAATTACTCAAAGCTGCTCTTTATATTTGTACTTTAAAAAGTAAGTTATCCTCAAAAAATCAGAAAAAAAGGTCATTGGCCATGTTCAAAAGAAGGTACTTCAAAATTTGTTGTGTGTGTAGAATTATTAAAAAGACGTTGAATGTTATTCTAGTTCAAATCTTCTTCTAAGTGTATATACTTTTAGTATTATCAAATGTTGTAGTGAATTTTATTCTGTAAGAGCTTCGACATTATTTCTAAATGGACATCAAGAAACATCATAGTTTTTTGAGAGCAGGCCGCCATGTTATTTTTCTGAGTCATTAACAAATTGGTACTCTGGAATTACGAGCAATTATTTTTCATTGTACGGGCTAGTATAATTTCAAATCAAATCTCTATAAACGACTATTATATTTTGTGCACTAAGAATAACATATCGCACTTATTTTCTAGAATCAAATTGTAATCAGTTTACTTATATGTATGTATATTCAATGTGAACTTGCACCTTGAATAAAATATCACAGTTACTTTTCATGGTAATATTTATTACTAAATTTAGATAATATACACTTTACGTATGTTCACTTTGAACTGGCACCTTGAATAACATATCAGTTACTTTTCGTGATAATTTATTATTAGATCGTTTAAAGTTTTTGAGTACCTTCTTTTGAACATGGCCTGACCTTTTCATTTTTATGATTTTTTTAGGATTATGTTATACAATGATTGAATAAAATACAAATTTGCGTTTGTTCTTTTGAGTTCTTTCGGGTTATTTCGGGTTCATGCCTCGTTTCTTTCGGGTTATTTTGGGTTTATGCCTCGTTTCTTTCGGGTTCTTTCGGGTTTTTTCACGTTCCTGCCTCTTTCTTTTGGGTTTTTTTGAGTTCTTTCGGGTTTTTTCGGGTTATTTCGGGTTCATGTCTCGTTTCTTTCGGGTTTTTTCACGTTCGTGCCTTGTTCTTTCGGGATTCTTTCGGGTTATTTCGGGTTGTTCTTTCGGTGCGCAAAATTACCTAAAAATGTTTACACAAATACGCGTGTGTGAGAGAGAGGGAGGAGGATACATAATCAAGATGATGTAAGATGTCTGAAAAGTATCGTAATACCTCTCGACTGACACATCGAAGAGATTATGCCTGCACCAACGTTTGTCGACCTGCAAGGATTTATCCTAAATAAACGATTTATTGTGAAGAAAGCGGCAATCCTGAGAAGAGGATATATCCTGTTGCACTATTTCTTCGCATGCCCTGTGCCATGGAGCGTGCTTATAAAGTCGGAAAGGCGCCAGGCCTCGTGGTTAACTCAGCATCATCACAGCTTGCAATGGGAGGATGGAAATATTCCATACAGCATGGCTCGGCGCTTGATCACGGCAGCTATCGCTGGCATAAATAAACAAGAAGAGGGGAAGAAGAGTCCTCTCTCGTGTATGTAAAAGAACTCAAAAAGTGAGAATGGCTGGCCGAAATAATGGACGATGCGAGCAGCGGTTTCACCATTGAGACCTTGGATGCCATATATGAAGATTTGCCTGCATTAAATAAATTAGATCCCATATACACTCTACGGTGTAATAAACATGTAAAAAATTGCGCGTTACAAAATGTATTTAAATTATTTAATTGGTGGTCGGCCAATCGCGACAATCATCCGTTTTTTTCTAATAAACATATTGTTTACATACTATTCTCTTTATTTCTCTCACCAGATATTTCTAAGAATTTGTTTTACCCCCACTACTTTTAAAAATTTCTCACGCAATCGTATTTCTAAGAATTCCTTTTACCCCACTACTTTTAAAAATTTCTCATGCAATCGTATTTCTAAGAATTCCTTTTACCCCTTCTCCTACTATTTTTAAATATTTCTCTTTGTTCTTTTCCTCCAGATATATTTCTAAGAATTTGATTTACCCCTTCTCCTAATATCTAAAAAATGAGCGTTACTTGATTATTAGTACTTTTTTATACGATCAGTCTCTCGTCGACCGTTCTAACTGACGGTTCACTTTTTAATACCCTCAGTTCAAAGAAGCAGCAGCATAAATTACTACATGCCGAGACGTGATGAAACGTGCGAGAAGAAATGCGACGAGTAAGTATAACTTTTTTTGTATTTTCTTTTTATATTTTATATTTTTTATATTTTTTATCTAATTTTTACAGCGTTTCGCTGGAGCCTCGTGCGATTCGTATATTAGGAAGACGATACGCATTGACGGCAACGGAATTCAAATTCCTCGAAATTGGCATCAGAGTGGATCCGCCGAGTTACGTGGAGATCGCCATAGGAGATCATCGGGGAAAACAGCTATTACTATCTCTCGAAACGTGGAAAGGACTCTACGAGCAACGTCACGCTATTAAAAATTATCTGAACAATGACTCCCCCAACAACGATGTGTATAATTTCATAAGTGTCAGGGCGCTAACAGTGCGATTTCACAAGATAAACGACACCAAGCTCATAAGTCTCGAATCAGCGGACGTGCGCATGATGATGGTCGAATCGACGTTACGTCGTATGTTCGAGCTCGATTCATGCATCGAAATAATGTTTGATCGATTGACGAGGCTCATCGCAACGGTCGATATTGTTGTGTGCCTCGTGAAAGGCACAAGGGGTCGCGCCAAATTGGGATGAGGATCCGGGGCGTCAGAGCTTTATCGGGTTGATTTAATAAATGCACTTCACCTTTTCACTTATTAAAGAACTTTATTCACATTACCACTTGACTTTTCTTTATTTCAACAATGATACACTTGTGCGTATATCTATTTAGCGGCACTTTTTAGCTATAACTTTGCGTATCGCGCGCGACTGCGAGAAGATGTTAAGATCGCACGCGGCTAGCGAGATCGTTTTAATTAACGACGCGAGAGCGTTTTGAGAGCGACTGATTGCGACTGCGACTAAGCTACTCGGCGCGTTTCTGCTCCCTTTTTATAATATCGTTTTTTGGAATTTCCTTAATTGGAAGGGGCGCCTAGCAACGGGCTTCCTCGGTCAAGGACCTAGGTGCAAGCGAAGCAGATTCAAAGTCCTTCTGCTTTGCTTGCACGTTGAGCAATTTCGGTTCCGCGTATATCTCGCAGCGTATGCGTTTTTACGCGGTCAGTGTCCGTCGTCAAGCGGATGTAACACGAGTAGTTATTTCTTAATAATTATATCTTTGAGGGATATAACATCCCTTCCCCGTTAAAGAAAAACAAAGGTACGTAGTTTTTCGCTTACAACTAAAGTTTACAAATGTTTTATGCCCGTTTACAATATAATTACAATCGTTTCCTATTTTCTAAAAACGTGTGCTATTGCTTCTTTTCAGTATGGATCTAGGTACATTTCAGTCATTGTCAAGTATCGTTACTCTCGGTCTTCTTTTTGTGTCTTTTTTATTTTCCAATTACAATGACAATAATAAATATTATGATTATGGTTATTATTAAACCGCTCGAGGTCATGGGGTAAATAAATTGTCTCTTGTAAAATTTCTGTTCGTTGTCTCGTAAATCCTTGCCTATGTCGTTTATCTTTGTTCGTAACTCTATTAGTTCTATGTTGTGTTATGTCAGGTTATCCAATGTGTCGAGTACTCTCATGTCCTCGTCTTGTGACGGTGCAATGTTGAAATTTGGTAAATATGTGTCTATGTTTGCTACGTAGATCGTCTCTTTTATTTCTAATGTCATGTCCTCTGTTTTAATTTGGCAGTTATTTCGTAAGGTCAGTCGGCCTGTATTTTTTATCATACATTTTTTTCTGTGTATTCATCGCATTTTATGTTTATTTTTTCTTCTTTGGCTGTTGAGTACAACCATGTATGTACGACTGATGTAACGGGATCCACAACGTTGTTCTCGTTATCCGATGGTGTACCTTACAATCATGCTTATCTTGCATTCGTTGCGTATACAGTTGCAATTCGCACGGTATATTCGTGTTTATGCGATAAGCCGGCATGCTGTGCTCGCATATATAATAAGAGTTTATTTTATTACATTTCTGTAAATCTTTGTTTGTTATAATCAAATATGTTAGTCTAAGGTTATCTATGGCAAACATATTATTTTCTACTCGTATACTTTAAATGTTTATTATATGCTGGCGCGGGGAATTCAATTGCATTTATTATGTTATATTTAGTGTTAGGACCGCGAACAGCTTTAGAATTTCGCGGGGCTTTAATGATTTAGGCCGTTAACTCGCGGCGCTAATATCGAGGGCGGTAAGCGAAGGAGACCTGCGTGAAGGAACTGATCCTCACGCTCTCCTTGTTCGTCTCCGACGGTCGTCGGGTGTAGTTCTCCTTTGTATTTGTACGTTTCAATATATATACGTTAATAAAGTATTGGATTAAGCCTAAGCTAGAACTAGAGTTGTTTCTAGAAAACACAACAGTGGCGACGAGGATCGGATATATATATATATTTTTTTTTTTTTTTTTTGTCGTTGGGTTGTTTGTTTTCCTTTTTCATTATTGGTTGTATCGGAAGGTTACACGATAAGCCCACGTGCACGGATTATCTACACAGTGAGATATTGCAAATTTCTTGGATAGGATGACTACTAATAATACTGGCGCGGGTTCCTCGCGGGAATTAGCAAGAACGCAAGAGATCGCTATTCCAAATTCCTTTACAATAGAAAATTTTAGTCCGGAAGTGACAACGTGGCGGCGTTGGTTACAACGGCTACAAGGAGCCTTTACGATTTTCCGGATCACGGGAAACGTGCGTGTTCCGTATTTACTACACTATATGGGACCTAGCGCATTTGATATACTGTGTGACCGACCGATTAGATCCGGCTGACCCGTTCTCGCAGGATTACGAATCATTGACGGCCAAGTTGGAAGAATTCTATGATCCGGCTCCGTTAGAAATAGCGGAAAATTTTAAATTTCACCAACGGCGACAAATTGAGGGCGAACAAGTACAACAATTTGCGGCTGCCCTACACAAGTTAAGTTTACATTGTAAATTTGGGAGTTATTTGAAGACAGCCCTAAGGAACCAATTGGTTTTTGGTCTCTCAAGTAAGAAGATTCAAACGAGACTTCTTGAGAAGAAGGAGTTAACGTACGAGGAAGCGGTACAGATAGCCACCACGATGGAGCTTTCGGAGCAGGGAGCAACATCTTTACAAAATGGCGCTACAAGTCCAACGGCAGGTGTGGAATATCTACAGGCGGGGAAGAAGCCATTGAAGAAATTGAAGGACAACAATAATAATCATAATTTTTTTAAAAAGAAATTATCGATTACTAATTTTTCGAAGCAAAATAATAATAAGGCGTCGCGTTCTAACTCGAATAAGGAGGGCACTAAATTAATTAAGTGTTTCAGATGCGGAAAGGGCATTATGCTTCCCAATGCACGTTAAGTAGAGAAGTACGTTGCTCGGGCTGTGGAGGATCCGGACATTTAGCAAAAGTCTGTTTCAAAAAGAAGGAGTATGCCAATAATTTGGATGAGGTATTACAATTGGAGCAAGCAGAGCAACGGGATAAATTCTTTTGCACGCTCTTAGTTAATAACAAGCGCATTCGTTTCGAAGTGGATAGTGGCTCTGCAGTCACGATCATGAATTGCGAGCAGGTACGTGCTTTATTTCCGGGTTCGACCATTTTCAGAACAAATCTTAATTTAATTTCGTATTCTAAGACAATAGTTAAAATCTTAGGATATATATCAGTGCATGTACAAGGAAATGAGACACGAAAGAATTGAATATTTACTTAACTGAATTAGATAAAGAACCGTTATTAGGTAGGGAATGGATAAGGCAGTTGAAAGGTCAGCGTGGAGTGCCAGAGTTCCTCGAGTGCAAGTTATTAGAAAATATTAATTCTACGCCGCGGAATTTTCATAAGCGATTACAATTAACTTTACGTAAATTTGAGGAAATACGTGAGCCTACTTTGGCTAAGATTTCGGGCATACAAGCCAGACTTACAATGAACCGGATGCAACTCCGGTATTTTTAAAGGCGCGGTCAGTACCATTTAAATTAATTTCTTTAATAGATAATGAATTAGATGAATTAGTTAAAGCGGGAATTTTTACAAAGACGGAAAACTCGGAATGGGCTACACCTATTGTTCCGGTGTTGAAAGCGAATGGCACTATTAGAATATGTGGAGATTACAAATCCACAATAAATCCTAAACTTATAATTGATGAACACCCGTTACCAACTACAAACGAACTTTTTGCTAAGTTAGCGGGTGGCGTTAAATTCTCAAAAATTGACTTACGCCAAGCTTATTTACAGTTAGAAATACACCCGGAAAATAGGAAGTTACTTACTTTAAATACGCATAGAGGACTTTACTTAGTTAATAGACTGATGTACGGTGTCGCATCAGCTCCGGCAATCTGGCAAAGAACATTGGAGCAAATATTGCAGGATATTCCTGGAGTGGCAATTTTTCTCGATGATATAGTAATTACAGGCCATTCGGAGGAGGATTACTTACATAGATTACATATGGTACTAGAGAGATTGCATAAGCATAACGTGCGAATCAACTTAGAGAAATCAGAGTTTTTTACACATGAAGTTAAATACTGCGGTTACGTATTACGAGAGGACGGTATACATAAAGAACCTTCTAAAATGGAAGCAATTAGGAGCATGCCGCGCCCACAAAATGTTTCTGGCGTCCGAGCTTTCATCGGTATGATTAATTATTATAGTAGATTTATTAAAAATCTAAGTTCAATCTTACGACCGTTAAATAAGTTATTACATAAGAATACTCGTTTCTCGTGGTCAGAAGAACAAGAAGTAGCTTTTAAAAAAGCCAAAGAGGCATTTGTGAGCAATCAAGTCTTGGTACATTTTGACCCGAAATTACCGGTGGTTCTCGCGACGGATGCTAGTCCCCACGGAATTGGGGCAGTACTTTCGCACACCTATCCCGATGGGTCGGAAAGGGTTATACAATATGCGTCACAAACTTTATCCGATACGCAGCAAAGATACGCACAGATAGACAAAGAAGCATATAGTATAATATTCGGTATTAAGAAGTTCTATCAATATCTGTATGGGAATAAGTTTACTCTAGTTACGGACCACAGACCATTAGTACACATTTTATCTCCAAATAAAAGTTTGCCGGTTTATAGTGCAATGAGAATGCAGCATTACGCCATTTTCTTGCAGGGATTCAATTATACTATCAGGTATAGAAAATCGGAAAATCATGCGAATGCCGATTGCCTTTCGAGATTACCGTTAAAAGAATATACAAAAAATATGGATGTAATAGATGTTTTCGAATTAAGTACACTAAAAACACTACCGGTGGATGCAAAATGCATCGAGTTGCATACACGAAAAGACACGGAGCTACAAAAACTCCTACAAGCGTTACAATCAGGCACTCTGGCACATAGCGCTGACAGATTCAATTTAGAGCAAACGGAATTCTTATTACAAGAAGGTGTAATTTTTCGAGGACATCGGGTCGTAATACCGAAATCTTTGCATAAAAAAATACTAGAAGAATTACATACGGGTCATTTTGGAATAAATAAAATGAAAGGTATAGCTAGAAGTTATTGTTGGTGGAAAGGAATTGACAATGATATAAAAGCTCTAGTGGAAAATTGCCAAAATTGTAATACGTTCAAAAACAATCCACAAAAAGTGGAACAACACATTTGGGAGTTATCAGCGGCACCCATGCATCGAGTCCATGCGGACTTTGCAGGTCCTTTTTTAGGACGTTGGTTTTTCATCGTAGTTGACTCATATTCAAAATGGCCCGAAGTAAGAATAGTAAAAAATCTGATGGCGAAAACAGTTATAGAGGAATGCAGGGATATATTTACAAAATACGGCATCCCACAAATTTTTGTAACCGATAACGGTAGAACATTCACATCGACTGAGTTTTAAAACATTTTTAAAACAGAATGGAGTGAAATTTAAATTTACGGCACCGTATAACCCAGCCACAAATGGCCAAGCCGAGCGTTTTGTACAGACCTTAAAAAATGCGTTACGACGCATGAAGGCGGACACGACTAATGTACGCGAAAATCTTAGTAAAATGTTACTACAGTACCGTATTGCGCCGCATGCGACGACTAAAAAGTCGCCAGCAGAACTGTTTTTAGGTAGGAAGCTTCGCACAAGACTTGACTTGTTATTTCCTTTACCTGAGAAAGAGGAGACGAGTTCCTCATATTCATGTGTTAATAAAAGCTTTAATTTGGATGAGCGAGTATCGTGTAGGAATTATGTAGGTAAAGATAAATGGAAATTCGGAAGAATTAAAAAGCGTTGCGGAATAGTGCATTACTTAATCACGCTTGACGACGGACGAACCTGGAGAAGGCACGTTAATCAGATGCGATTAATAGGACAGGCAACTCCGAATCAAGAAACAGACTGGGATCACGGTCCCGTGGAGGATTTGATCGTTCGAATAGAAGCGAACGCATCGGAAAATAAAACTACCGATAAAGAGCAACAGAAAGAATCTTCGCAGGAGATTCAACAACACCCGCCGGATCGTTCACAGCCCCGGCAGATAGAGATCGTTCCGCAGGAATCGATTAAGCAGCAAAGAATGTAATCCAAAAAGGAACTATGCGGAAACCACGTGAGCCTGTTATAGGGAGCATTGTACGAAAATCCGATCGAATTGCGGCTAAAGGCACAATCGTCAAAGCAAAGAAATAATTCATGTTATGTTAAAGCGACGTTTTTTTGTTACATGTAAAGAAAGGAATTCGCTTAAGAAAGAAAGGTGTTAGGACCGCGAACAGCTTTAGAATTTCGCGGGGCTTTAATGATTTAGGCCGTTAACTCGCGGCGCTAATATCGAGGGCGGTAAGCGACGGAGACCTGCGTGAAGGAACTGATCCTCACGCTCTCCCTTGTTCGTCTCCGACGGTCGTCGGGTGTAGTTCTCCTTTGTATTTGTACGTATCAATATATATACGTTAATAAAGTATTGGATTAAGCCTAAGCTAGAACTAGAGTTGTTTCTAGAAAACACAACATTTAGATTGTGAAATTATGGAAACCGCAGTATCGTATATAGATTAGTCTTTGCTTACGTATGCGCTTACGCTTGCATGTTTCTTTATTTCATGCCAGCTTGCTGTATGCGTCCTAAACGAAAAGTAATATCCCTGTTCTAATTGCGTTGCGGCTTCCTTTAAATGCGCGACAATGTTATCGAACGGTATTAATTTTGGATGTATGTTTTTCTTCCTCGATTTACGCTAAGTATTCTATAATATTTTCAGCGTCCCTAATGGAGTCTGTTAAAGCTGCCATAATTACTTCGTATTGTTCTTGTATTTTTTCTAATGTTATATATTCTGCTAAATTTTCTTGTAAAAGTTTCTCACTTTGCTCTATTATATTTTCTAATTTGTTTATGTGTGTTATTGTGTCGTTGATTACTGTCAGTTGGTGTCGAACTGTGTGTTGTATTGTGCTTTGTCGGCTATTTATTAACTCTAGTTGTTCATTTATACGTTTTTCGTCATCCGCGTCCATGGTACCAAACAACGTTTTCGCTATTGTACCTATTCCGTTGATTATTCCCCTACGTTTGTCTGTACGTCTGTTGTAGAGTGTAGTTATTTGCATTGTTGTCTTTCTAGATAATTTAATGTTTGTTTTGTAATATTAACCAAGTTAAGGCATGTTTTTCGTTGCGTTAATACATTGCACGTTTTTTCTGTTTGCTCTATGTAATTTCGTACATATCCCTGTTTTGCAGTTAATGTTGCTAGGTCTAATTTTATTACTAATTTTCACGTGCTTTTAGAGCAGTGTAGATGACCTATTCTTTCGAAGTGTATACCTGGTTCGTTGGTGAATTCTTCGAGTTCGTGCGGTTCTTGGCTTGACCGTCTTAATATCGCTGCGTTGGCATTGAATACGATCATCCTGTAATAACATATATATAATTCCTCTTACTACTTTATCTTTATATACTTTTGTATGCAATTTTTATCAAGAGAGCGGTGCGTTCGTTCTATATGTCGTTTGTCGTCCCTTAGTCTTATGACAACCTTTCTCGCGACTATGTATCGACACGAGTTTTGTTACTATTGTGACCAACGCCTTGTGCCCTGGTTTAAAATCCAGGTGCTCAGAGTGTTCGGATGAGGCATGGTGCCAGTGGGGCGATTATCGGGCGCCGGTTGTGGGGCCCGAATTGCCTCGTGATTGGATAAAACGGGCCTATGATGCCGTGAGCCGGATCGTGAACCTGGCTTGGTCGTACCAGGTTACCTTGGACGTGCGCACCGGAGTGCGAGTAGTGCGTGAGGTACGCGTGGTGCTCTTGGGTATGGCGCCGTTGATTCCGCGTCTGGTGAGGAGAGCGTCTATGAGAGCGGGAGTACGCGTCCCCTATTTTGTCTCGTATGAATTAGTAGGGAGCTCATCTGATGATGATTGAACGATAGTAGATAAGTCCCTAGTTTTCAATAAATAACTTTAATTTTGTCGTGTGCATGCGTATCGCTTTTTCTTCCCCCTCTTTTTTTCTCTCTTTTTATTGTACATTTGGCGTCGGAGATTTTTTTTGGTTATCATGTACGGTCCTGTCCATAAGACGTCAAGTTTCTTTGGTTGTCCTCGTCGTAGCGTTTTATCGTACATCAGCATTTTTTCACTGACTTCAATTTGTTTTAAAAATTTTTTGGTTGCCTAGGTATCGTCCGATAAAAAATTCCTGGCGCGGTTTGTTCGGTTTCTATGATTTCTGCGATATTTTTAGTTGCGGCGGGTCGGATGTGTGATACGCGATACTAGCTACGCGTACCGGGTCTCTCTTTCCGAGTCTCCCTCATTGCTATCGCGTTCGTCCTCAGATTTGTTTTTTCGTGACCTACCCTTTTCCGGTCGTCTTCCGATTCTATCTGGGTATTTTCGCGTTATGTTTTTTCGTTTTTCCCCAGCGTTTGTTTTTGACCTATTTAGATTTTGGATAATCGTTTCGCTGCGCGGCTGTAATCGGACCTTCTCATACGGGCGCAGTTTTATTACAGCGTTTCCTAGTTGCAGCTTCTGTTTCCTATGGTTGCAAGAAACATTTCGTTTCTTCAGGAAATCTATTTCTATAATTTTGTCATATTCCATCGGGAAATCATCTTTCACGACGTAAATCGCGTGTTTTATTTTGTTCCCGTTTAGCTTAATGGTCGCGTACATTTTTCCGATCGTCTTTGCTTTGTGACCGGTTATTCCCACGAGGGTTATTTTATCGTTGTAAATTTTGGTCTCGCTCTTTAAGAGTTTCACTTTTATCAATAAAATCGTAGCTTCCGAATCGTAAAGCATATTTACTTTCCAGTGTTTTTGCCTCTTGCATGGGCAGATTAATTATATTTAAACTCTCTCTCTCGTCACCTGATATTCCCGCGCGCGTGTCGTCTTATTCTTTTCCTCTTGTCTCTCGTCCTCGTCGCTGCTTCGCTCGTAATTGTTACTGCGTCGCTCGGAATCCGTATCACTGTTTCTCGTTTTCGGCTTCTTACGACTTTTGGTTACATTAACGTTACGCGATTTTTTATCACCGTTTATTCTATCGTGACTTGATGTCGTTTTTGGCCGTCCATTTAACGTCCAGCATTCTTCACGACTGTGTCCGCGTTTTTTGCAGTAATTGCAAAATTTTTCTATTGTAGTTACGCGATCTGACTTCTCCGGTTTCAGAAGCGCGTATTTACTACTACGGCATTCTTGCTCGTAGTGTCCCGATTTTCCGCATTTATAGCATTGCACGGCGTTTTTGATGGTCGCGACGGCGCTTGATCATAACGATTCGACCTGTATGTAACTCGATTGCAATGCGTTTGTGCCCTTTACCTTTTCCTCGGCAGTTGCGGCAGTTATTGCCTCCTGTATCGTTTGTCCTATTTGGAATTTTGCAAGGCTTGTTTTTGTATAATACTTAGTATAATCCGCTTTTCGATGGAGGAGTGATCTTCTCCCTCCGTCATGGATTCATATAATTCCATAGCTAAGGTATCAACGCGCGTTCCAAAAGCTTGTGCGCCTTCATTTGCCTTTTGTTTTAAAGAATTGAACTTTATCTGCAAATGCGTAGTGCTTCGCCTACTCTGATACGTACATTCCAATTGTCGCTTGAGTTCGTCATACGTCTGTATGTCTTGCGTTTGAAAATCCAACATTGCTTTGCCTTTTAATTTTGTACACAAAATAGCTCCCACCAACCCTTTCTCATTAGCAGGGTGTATATTTTTCATAGCATAAGTGCATGCGCTTAAGAATTCTTGCAGTTTGTGTTGTGTCATCCCGTTAAATTCCGGAATCATTTGTCGTGCTTCTTTTAATGAGATGAAATACTCATGAGAGCTTTGTCGGTGTTTAGCGTCATTCTCCGTCCGTCCGTACATAACGTCATATCTTTTGTTGTCGTACTCTGAGTATCGCGTTTCTCCCTCGAGTGTACGTGCGTGTGTGTCCCGGCAGATCTAACACCGTTCGTCGGCGTATGCGTTAGATTCGCGAATTTGTTCGCGCAATACATTTATTTTGGTACGTAATTCTCGCATGCCTCTCATTATTTCGCGTAGCATAGGGTTTTCTATTCCTATCTCTCTATAATTAGGTGTTTTGCGCATCTCGGTTTCTTCAACGCGTCTATCTGTGTATCGCCTAATATCGCGAGGGTTATCTGTTCCTATATCGCGATTAGGGGGTGGTGTATGTACATCGACTTCCACGAGTCGAGTATTGTCGCGAGCTATGGTACCGTGAAGACGGTCAATCTCGCGGTCGATGACACTCTCGGACATATCCATGACACCGTTCGGCGGTGTTCGCAACATGTCCTGATATTCGCTCGGATCAAAAATACTACTGTCGTAAGACGTAAGCGAGAATTCTCCGGGTTGCGACAC